ACCTACTGGATTACCAAGACTTTGTATGCACTGTGGGCAAGTTGTTAGTGCAAGGACAGAATTGAGGCACAGGAGATTACAAGCCCCCCATTGTATTATAGCTTCTTTTCCATACCTGCAGAAGTTAATCAATAAGGATAATGGATTACAAAAGTAATCTACACTTCAGATACAACCTGAACCTTGAATGCCAACAGAGGGCCCAGTGATGGAAGAGGAGCCAATGAATATTGCTGACAAGCTTCATAACAACGTTGAAGAGTTTAATGGGAATGGAGATGTTAAAATAGGAGGGGCAGGTAGGGAAGTAGATGTCGGATTAGACAGAGTAAGGCAACAAATAGTAAGTTATGTGATGCACAGTATTGGTCAAAACTGGAGCTACAAAGTGTGGGTGGACAACAACAATGGAGATAAGATGGAGGATGAAGAAACTTGTGAATACAAGACAGATGCTGATGCCAATAGTACAAACAGCAACTTTGAGATGACTGAAAATAGGGAGGGGGAGAATGGGGATACATGTTCTGAATCACTGGTATGGATCAAACTGGCAGAGTCAATAGAGCAGCATTTATTAGTACTTGGCAAGTAGTGCTAAAGTTGGGTTATCATGGCACTTTAAGGACTTAGATTGGTGTCAATTTTCCAAGCGACAACTTGAGCAAAAGTAACAAACTCATCCTATGTGCTTGAGCAATGAAATATGGTTGCACTTGACTGAGAATGTTTTCAAAAGTCTGCCATATGTTTTCAAGACAGAGCCTTTGCCAAGCTGGAAGACAGTGAAGTCCCGTGTTGCCTTTCTTGCAGGCCTGGATCTAGTGTTGTACGACTATTGTTCACAGTTTTGCTGCTGCTTTGTGGGTCCAAATGTGTCTCTGCAAAGATATCTATACTGCAAAACTTTGTGATATAATGGTAATGGACAACCTAAACAAAAATACATCTACATATTATTAATTCCCTGGCCGGCTGGTGGGTCTGTACAGAGATAAGGACCTAGCTCAGATGCAGTCACATATATTATGGACAAGACTGTATATTGGTGGCTTCTGGGCAAATCTGTTGTGGTACATGGTAAGTAGCTATCGTTACAATACACAATTTTTGGACCTTTAAATTTCATTCTCCACTTTAACTTTCTTTCGTAACATTCACACACTGTGCCATGCAGCACTTTCCATTTTGTTCAAACTCCACTTTCTCACACTGCACTGCTTTCCTTTATTCTTAGCTATAAGTCTTTCATGCAGTGGTGCTGGTCACACGGGCTGTGCCCTATGACATCATCAGCCACTGCCTTCATTAACTGTATAGTACACATGTACAAATAGTCTGTAGTAGTATAAATACCCCAATAGATCCAGACAACAAACTTGGTCCTACCATAAGGGAGATTATCCTCTCCTCCACTCACCACTCTCTGCCTGTCTTGTTGTGCGCCAGAGTATACAAACTTTGGTTATCACATTAGGACTTGCTCTTATAACTCTCTTGCACTTTGTGCAAACCTGGACCACAGGGTTAAGTGGAAGTCTTTCAGTTCCTCAGTGAGTCCTCCCATTGAATACCATCAACCAACTCCCTCCTATCTTTGAGTCTACTAACCTACTACTTCATCTTTACTTCTTCTTGAGTATCTGGCTGTGTGCACGGTGCACCAGAGTCTATCAACTTTGGGGTATTGTCACACCAGCCAGGTCAGTAAAGACGCAAATACTGCAGTCACCAAAGACAAAAGTTTGTCCTGGAAGCAGTTCCACAAAGCCACTCTTAGGATGGTTGCTTCTATGCAATAGCACAGGTGGCCACACAACCACAATGATATGCATGTCAGATTCTGGTCAGGTCTCTTTTGATACACTAGCACAAAAAGTGCTACTTATATACTAATTGCAGCAATGCAGTAGATGATACTGTCATATTTGTGCCATAGGCCAGGAAATTGAAACCTCCAAACAGTCAGAAACTCCCACATCTGAACTCCCAAATCTTTAATCTTCCTGGAATTATGCTCCTCATATTCTGCAAAATTCAGAATGAAGGGCATATATTTACAGTACAGATGGCTGATCATGAAATTACATAGATGAGAAGAAAAATGAGCATATGTGTATGATGAGTGATATACAAAACCATGGCCATAGTAAGATGAATTTAGACAGTCACATGTACAGCATCAGAATGAATAATGATAACAACAATGTTCCAGATGCCTGGAGGAAGCAAGGAAACCATCCAAGCCAAGCCAACCACCATTAGAGACAGCCACTGTTTGTAACGACTTTTCCTCATTGTATCTGGGCTGTATAGCTGCCAAAACAGACACTGGTTGAGGCTTAATCACTGTGGCTGATTGGGATACATCAGCATCAACATCAGCATCACTGGGGTGTGTGGTACTATTGATCAACTGGGGTATATTGGTGGTTTGTGTTTGGGTGGGCATGTTTGGGGTTTGCGGATGTAAGTACTGGTGAGAACCTGGTAAAGGGACTTAAGAAGGGTATTCTTGGTCATCCAAACTATGAACAACATCAATTATCTACCCATTCATATTCAGAGACACTCATCTTGTTTTGTTGCAGATTTTCCATTCAGAGGTCAGTGCAAGGATTGTTAAATGTAGGATTGTTGGCAGCAATTTCTTTGACAAACTGTAAGGCACAATGGAAAAAAACTTAGAGGGTACCGTGTTCCGGAGGCACAACAGTCAAAGGCATGGCAGAGCTGTAACAAACACAGTCAGCATGTAAAAAATGAGAGTCATTTGGAATGCACTTACAATAGTGAGAATGTATGCATACACAGCTAGCAGAATACATCTGGCAGACCTCAAATCCAGTAGACTAAATACTTAATCTGCTCATCCATTAACAAGGATTATCCAAATGGCCTCCTCAAAAGTCGGATGCTGCAGTAAAGCAACTATATTGCCCTAAAAGTAGTAATGAGTCGATGAACTACGGAGATTTTCAAGGAGACATACCTCCTCATCTAATACGTGAGCAAAGCTGAAACCTTGTAAGCCAGTGCAAAGATGCCAAACCATTGCCATGATCTCCAATACACCACGACACCTGGAGTTTTCAGACTAGAAGAGGTCATACAAAGCCTGACCAACATGTACATTGTTGTTTGCCCTTTTTTTCCCTTTGTCTTTTGTATGTGCAACCTCTTCCACAATAGGGGCCAGGCGTGTTTGGTCACCTGTTCTCAGGCTTTGAGGTTTGCCCTTGAAGATAGTATGCATATGACATGGCATCTGATCTTTCCAATCAACGTCCTGCATTCTCCGATGCTCTACTGAAATCCCTACATCCAATTTCTCTGCGTATTTATTGCTCGTTTGCTGCGGAAGTTGCTGAAATCAGAGAACGCATATGCGGGAACCAAAGGAAGCTGCAAGCGGTTCACTTATAGCTGGTTCCCTATATCTTGAGTTTGGTATAGCAAATGTGAAGTTGACGGTAATATAAGCTTGGTGAGTATTTCAGCAATTGTAATGTTCCTTGAGAGCTGTTGACAATGTTTGCACCTATAGCAACATTTTCCAAAGTGTCATTTGATTGTGACGATGAGATCTTCCACATGAGTCTGGTAGATTGCCTTTTTAATGATGGAATCAAGGGGAGAGACGCTTGTTGCACTAAGATGTGTAAGTCTAAGTTGCTTTCCAATTAGCCAAAATGCATGACTTATATTGTACTCCAGATGAGTGATTTCATCCAAGTGGTTAATATGTGAGTACTCATTTCAAAACTCCCCTGAGAGTCATTTGTTCACTTTATCGGGATTGAACCAGCGTATGATGGCCACACTTGCAAGTGATTTGGCCCTTGACAACATTACATACACGCTCAGAAGAGTTCTGCAGGTAGCGAGGTCAACAATAACTTTGGTGAGTGATCGACCCTGTACTTTGTAATCGGTAAAAGTGTATGCAGGCAGAAGGGGCAATTGGGCGCGAGAGACATTGAGTTGTACATCAAATTTCTCGTTGTGCTAGCTGAAACGAGAAGTAGATGGGAGCACAGGAACAAGGTCAGGTGGTAGGGAAGGAGCATGGAGGTTGGAACCCGGTACGTGAATGTATGCGCATTCTGCAATTCTGTAGCCTTCATCAGATGTTGAAAATTTGACGGAGTGCAGAATGCCTTCAGCTCCATTGACTACATGAGCATCTATCGCAATGTTTTCCATGATGGTGACTTTCATGCCTGGCACAAGTGGTAGAAGACCAAGACAATCCTTGGTTGTATTTAAAGGTACTCGCCATGTCTCACGTTGAAGACGTCGAGGTAGAGGCAAGCGGCCTACTCAATCTTTGGAGTGTTACAACATGAACGGTTGGCCAGAATCACTTGCAAATCTTTGTGCAAGTTTGTAATTGAAGGCATCCCTTGTTTTTTTTTCAGATACTACTATAGGCGCATCCTTGAAATCAGCTAAAGATTGAACATCCATATCACGAATCAAACGCAATAGAAGGGCGTTGTAGTCAGATTGATCGTAATTACCACCTGTGCCATACTGTTGAGCACTCATTGGGTCATTCCCATTCCAAGCCAGACCACTCCGTATTCTTGCTAAAAGGTTCACAAATTCAGGGTCGGTTGCCGCTCTCCAGTTTTTGCGGAGAATGACGACTTGTTTGACTTGCCTCCATAACAACGCCCCATGCAGGGCACTCTGACCGTCGATGGTTTGTGCAGTATTGGGAGTTATCTGGTTGACAAGGCTGTGACAAAACAAGGATTTCTCTTTGACAGGTCACAGTTGTCCAAAGTCGCCAGTGAATATCATGTTAACGCCTCCAAAAGGTTTACAAGCATTCAGGTGGTCCCATGCCTTTGCTTGGCTCATCCGGTGAGATATTTGGCTCAAAAGTTTGGCGGATATCATTGAAATCTCATCAATGACTAGGTATTTAATGTTCCTCCAGATGTCCTCAAAGACTTGTCTCTTTGATTGCCACTTGGTCTGGGGCAGAAATGTCAAGGCATGAATTGTATACCCTTCAATGAGAACCGCCGTGCATCCTGTGGGGGCACTGAGCAGCAAGCTCTCTCATCATGGCCTGTACGGCGGAAAAACTCCACAATTGCTTTGATAATATGGCTTTTCCCAGCACCGCCCACACCCGCAATGTAGAGTAGTAATTGTTTGGGAGACTCTGATATGCTGTGCTGGCATACAATGGACAATGCACGCTCTTGTTCTTCATTGCCTGTGATCCCCATATCATTCATAACGTTGTTCAGGTGTGTAGAGCCTGATATATGTGGGTCTCTATCAAAATTGTTGACATATTCAATGTTCACTTGCTCGCCAAGTGTGTCAAAGGACACATGAGGAGGCAGGTCAACACGTTGTCTGCGAAAGGGACATTGAACATTATCAGGTTCCAAGCGATTGCAGGTGGGACACTTCCGTTTGCGGTGCACAGTCATTAAATCACCATGCATCCAGATTTCTGCAAAGTCTGCGCCAGCAACCTGGGAGCTCTTGCCATGTGGAGGTGCAAGAAATCCCGGTATGTTGTCAAGTAAGCCTACTCTCTGTGCAGCTAAAATTGCATCATTCACGTTTGCGTTTACGATGTCAGGTTCAAAAAGATCATCCTCTGCTTGTGCTTTGTCATCAGAGCTATCTGGTCCGTCAACGTCATCTGACATTCCAATGGCAAGTGCCTGAAGATCAGTTGATGTGTGCCCGGAGACATCACCATGTAACAATGAATTAGTTGGTTTTGCACATTTTTCCAACTCAAAATGATCACGAGCATCTCTGCATTCATTTTCAATGTCCATGTTGCGGATAAGCAGTCTGTCTTCTGCCCCAAAAGGATACACTTTGTATGCTTCACACCATGTTTGATTCTCATTTTTAAGATCTGTGGCCAGCCTCCAAGGTTTAAACAAACAGAGCATAACCTGGTAATATACAGTATTACTTTCTTCATCACTAACTGAATAGCGGGGAAGTCTGGGACCAAGTAGCAAGGGCACCAAAGGTACGTCGCAAACCCTTAACATATGAGTTGTCAGTTGTGGATGTGATGGATGCCAAGCACCTCTGTCATTTGCAGGGCGACCTCATCGCACTCGTTCACTGTTTTCAGCACCATCTTGTCCATCATCCGCGTCAAGCCCTATTCTGCAATTTTCACTGTTGATTGTAACTTTGCTTGTAATCTCAGTAAAGTGCTACAGTGACATAGACGCAAAAGGTTTGTCAATAGGCCACAAAGTATAATCCAAAAAATCACTGGCAATTGAAGGAAGACCATCTACAAAAGTTAATTGCAGGTTATCATTGCTTTCGTACGTATTTGCATGGAAATCTGTTTCAGGAAGTTAGTCAACATTGTTATCAACATCCAGCTCATTTTCAGGTTCAGTCAGATTGCCATCATCTTCAAGTTGGACGGAATGAGAGCTGATATCATCCTGCACCGAAGCATTAAAGTGATTCACTATATATTTATCGGATTGTTGCCATTTGATCATTTTGAATTTATGACTCGTGTAGTGGTCACTGCCGCCCACCAAGTAACCCATCACTTGTTGGTGGGACAATTCCTGTCTAGCCATAATGGTGTTAACTGTTTTGGTAAACAAACTCTTGTTGACTGTGCTAGCAGCGGGCTGTAGACCCTGAAATTTTTTATTGTTTTGTTGAATGGCATACAACACAGCCGCCAAACCAACGTGAGTGGCCAAAGAGCTTTTCATTATGTAGTCAGTCACATAATAGACGAGAGCTTTAGCAGCTTCTCTAGAGCCAATGAACTTAATGTCCATATTGCAACAAAACAAGAATAACATAAGATCAGTGAAATTGTTGATACGGGGATGCAAGCATCTAAGCAAAATGGACTGAGTTTCTTCGTCTAAGTCAGTTAGAGCTCGCGTACTGCCATCAATCCACATACGGCAATGTTGATCATCACGAGGTTCACCAGGTTTCAAGTGTTTCCAACATGTATCAGTATGTTCATGCCAATTGCACTCAATTGCTAGATCTCGGACGGTTTGGCGGAAAGCAAGTGCAAAGTCCTCATTTGTCATGTTTACAGATTTCGGTTCGTCATTCAGGCAAGGGTCTGCAACGTGAGCATCACGAGGAGGTCTATGCAGAGCCTCACCTGGGGTCTCGGTATGAAGAACCTCCTCTCCAGGGAGATGACTATGGATGATAGATTCCAACCAGGTAAACATCAAAGTCTTGAACCCATCACCTGCTGACATATGGTCACGCAAGTCTTGGGGAGCTGGATTTCCTTTCAACCACAGCAACATGTGGCAATGAAGGGAACCACGGCCTTGCGCCTCAACCACCCCATAGTGAGCGAGACATGTACCAAAAAGGCCAGCACCACGACCATATCTTATGACAATGGACAAGAACACTTTAATGAGTGTGTCAAAAAAGATCGCAGCAGGGCCGGGGTTATTGGCCACAAAAATTCCACGCTCAAAAGCAGTCATGTCTGCCCATTGTTCAGGAGTCAGGCCAGCTACAACACCAAGCAAAGGATTAAAGATATCAGCCGGGTTTGACATCAGAAACAAGGCTGGGGTGCAAAAATGCTTTATCAATGAATGTATTTCATTACGACGACACAATTTGTACCCAAAACTACCCTTCAGGTCTTTAGCTGCATGTTTCAAACACTGGAGCAACTTCAAGGCTTGTTTCTGTTGCCAGTTAGAGGGCTGTGTGTTTGGATTACGCTCCCAGGCAGCAATCATGTTAGTGAGCAGTGGCCCGACAGATTGCATTTTGTCCAAGATGGAATTGCGCTCACGTTGGGTGATAGTGAATGAAGTGTTCTTGTTCACTTCAGCCTTTTGTATAATGTTCCAGCAAACATATGCAAAATGTGGATCTTTTTGGAAAGGAGATTCATGCTGTCTCAACAAATTTCTCACTTGCCTCTCGAAAGATATCCGTTGGTTAGGTCTGCGGTTTGGCTCATTGAAACCACCAATGCCCCATGGGTCCAAATTTGAAAACAAGTAAGTGAGCAGCCCAGGATCTTGGTTGTTTATGAAGTGGGAACCACTTTGCATTTTCAGAAACTGCCCACCATCAATAACACGGGCCAAAGCTTTGGCTTTCATAACTTTCAAATTACGAGGGGTGTAGTCACCAGATGTATAACCAATAGCGTCCATCACGAGAGGATCCATGGCAGGATTTGTAGTCAAGGTAAGTTCAGTCCCATCCATGATGTCAGGGTGCATGTCTCGTTGAGCAGTATAATTGGCTGTCGTGGCATCTGCACCTTGGTCAGAATCCAACTGACAGATCTCCACAGCAATGGGAACAGCTTCTACAACACTGTTCTCGACTTCAGGGTACAGATCGTCAAGGTTACCTTCACTAAAAGACACGCCTGCAATTTTATACCAAACATTGTTTGCCACTAAAAACTCAATCAAACGATGAACCCGCCTTTTTGAAACAAAAACAGGCCAAAGAACAGCAACATTTTCACGAGTTGGTTTAACATTCCATCCTACAAACAAAGCGCACATTGTGTTGGCAATCTCTGCACCATCAGGGGGTAAAACAGTTCGCAAATGAACAGAGTCTTGAGGCATTACAGCAACATTGCCTCGGATATATTTTTGCGACAAACACATATTCGAGCCATACAGGGGGCTATCTTTCTTGTGGGCAAAAAGGTGTGACAACTTGGTGGCGGAAGCACGAGAGACCAATGAAGTATCATAAAGAGTCGCATTATCCCAATCTGCCGATACAAGCAGCGGTAACTCAGGAATAGCATAATACTGGAAATTCGCAATGGCATCCAAAGGCTGCTTCTGATAATTCACCAGGGAATGATGACATGAATGACAAAGTTCGAGATGACCAAGATGTGTAACATCTTTGAGGGCTCTGATATCAAGAAAGGCACGGTGATACAATTGAAAGTCATAAGTGGTGGGATGTGTTGCACGTGGCAGACAAGGATTTTGTAGCAACTCGAGATATATAGAGGAGGCATGTACCCTCAAGAGAGAAGCTCGTACATTGCTGTGCGAACATACTGCACAAGGAAAATGTTCCTGCTGCTCGAATCCCATCTGATCTTGCCACTCTTCGATAATAAGCTTACGCAAATCATCGGAAGCGAGCTGTGGAAAAGAGTCGTCTTCAGCTGTTTGAGGTATGTGGCGCTGGTGACGTCTGGATTCTCGCAAGGAACAAAGTTGTGAGGCACGCTCATTTGCAGGATCAACAGGATCCGCAGGTAGTTCATGTTAAATGGACGGTGGATATAGAGTTCGATCTCTCCGTAACGCTTCAAAAAGAAATTGCCAAGGTAAACACTGCAAATGGCAAACATGATTTTGTAAATCCCAAAATATCCATTGTTTCTTGTCACTGGACCGGAAAGTAATGCCATGTGTTGCAGCAATAGTACGAAGGTCTGCAACCCTTAAAAATTCATGGAATGATTCATAAAATGTATTCCAATCAGGGAAAATGACAGCAACTAATCGGCCATCGGGCCAAAGGTCACGAGAGTGAATGATTTGTTGTGCAAGAAGCACATCATGGAACTTGAACATTTGTCTCAATCAATAGGCACTCATATAGGAGCAGCCATCATCCGTGAAGGACACAGGATCATCACTTACCAACACAGGAAGGACAACCGTTGGGGCAGGTTGGGAAACCAAGGGGGGAGACATCAGTGATAAGAACGAGAGCTGGAAACAAATATATACTGGCAGGTGGTGCTGGTTCATCACCTATTACAGACTGAGTTGCTCCCATTGCAGAGGGTGGAAGAAAAGCGAGAGGGAAAAGATAAAAGATGAGAGCGACAAGATGGAAGATCAAATTAGCAATGCTACAAGGAATGATACGGATTAGTAATGATGTCGCAGTCAGACCGACATCCGCCCAAAACGCTCGCGACAATTGAATTCTGGAAACCTGGATCCTACGGGTCCAGGAAAAAGGGCTAATAAATCATTCAGTATTAATTAATTATGTAGCCTGTATTAGTAAAATAGTAGTCTGTGTCCCTGATACTCACAAAATAAGAATAATGATTTATGTAGTGGATAAATGTGATGTGTGGCTATAGGTTGCTTAGTCACCCAAGAGCTGACTAGCAGGTTGAGAGTTCAAATCCTGTCTGTGTTGATTTTTTTTAATCAGCCACACAATTTCCAACATCTATAAGAGCATTTACAGAGCTATATGAGGCTCTATAGATGACAGAGGTTTCATAACAGGTTTGACCACTATAACAGCTTTATGAGTACTTATAGTGCTATAGAGCTCTATATAGCTACCCCCATTTTTCCTGATGGATACGATATCAAAGCCATTGGAAAGGACAACGTAACACTAGAACTCCAAATGATAAAATGTTCACAAAAGTCACTCTAAAGAACGCATTATATGTACCCAAAATGACTCAAACCCTTGTTGCCGCTGGACAAATTGACAAGTCAGGAATGTTAATCCTGCTGGATGATGGTGTCTGCACCATCACAGAACACAACAAAAGGACAATAGTGAAAATTCCCATTCTCAGAGGCTTCATCAGGAAAAATGGGGGTAGCTATATAGAACTCTATAGCACTATAAGTACTCATAAAGCTGTTATAGTGGTCAAACCTGTTATAGAACCTCTGCCATCTATAGAGCCTCATATAGCTCTATAAATGCTCTTATAGATGTTGGAAATTGTTGTGTGGCTGATAAAAAAAATTAACACAGACAGGATTTAAACTCTCAACCTGCAAGGCAAGCTAGTTGCAAATGGAAGTTAGAAAGGCTTTTTGTGTTAGTAAGAACATGGTGCTTTTTGAGCCTTTTGTTTGCCTGTATGCAATAATGTGGTGGTCGGAGGATGGGTTGTTGATTATTATGTGATTGGTCCAGGTGAACTGGGGTTCTTCACTAGGTCCATTGATGATACATCTTCTCCTTCTGGCGCTGATTTGGTTCTGGGTAGTTTGAAGATGGTTAATGTAAGTCCGTTATGGTCTGTCTCACTGCAAACAAGTGCTATGGATGGGTGAGTAGTAGGGCTGTAAGACAATAGTGATGTGGTTGTGAATTTGCCCTGACGGGAGGCTGCATAAAAGGTGGTGGTTAAGCATGCAAAAACAGCAGCTGAGAGTGGGTTGGAGAGGTCAAGGCATTCACGTATCAATACTATCATGTAGATGGTTAATGGTAGACAGGGTGGTTTTTTCAAACATGCCGGGGTTAGATTTGTTGCTGTTGCCATCAGTGCTGTAAGTCTATCCTCATTGATACTCCAAGGTAGGTTATTGAGTAGGTGCCAGGCTCAAATGCCATCTATATAATTGTTTATTGTTTTGTAGGAGTGGGTTCCAGCCATGTTTGCAATGAATATATTTCAAGGAGATTAACACTGGCAGGTGCTCTGTCAGTTTTGGATATTGAATGTAAGTTACAGAAGGTGTGGAATATCAGAAGGCCTGATCCATAGACCTCCTATGTTAATGGTGCCCATGCATTTATCATGACTTGATGAGTTCATCCAAGATCATTGGCGGGTAAGTTGAGGGTATTGATTATTGGTTCTGTCAATGTTGATGGTTTCCACAAGAAGAAACATTTCTTGGCTTGACATCGGGGATGTAGTGAGGAGGGGGGGGTTGATGAGGTTTGAGAACAAATGTGTGTGGAAATGGTGACAGGGGATATTTGTTGTATGAAGGTAGGGTCTTTGCAAGTAGGGGAAGCTGAGGAAGTTGATGGATTGGAATTATGGCGTATAGATGGGTGAGAAGTTGACTTGCTGTTGAACATATTTTTGATTTGGTGAGGGAATATGAGTGGGCTGTTGAGTTGGGGTAGTTATGAATGAGTCTTTGTATTTCGATTGGGATTTTAACATTGGGAAGTAGTGTTTTATGAATGCCAGGAATTTTCCTCAGCTTGGTGTGTCTGCTGGATTGCAATCAGTTGGGCCATATTTGATGTGGATTGTACATCTTGTCTCCAATGTGATAGGGATAATGCAGTGGAAATTTTCATTGACCTTTGAATTTCTGCTGCATCCTTTGGGTCAGGCTTTAAATACTCCTAGGTTGTCTCCATGAATCCATATGTTAGTTCTGTAACAACCAAGAATTTGTATACTCTGGTGCACAACTAAGACAGGCTACAATTGAAGTGATTGGCAGTGATTACCTCTTATGATAGGACTAAGTTAGTTGTGGATAACCAACAGGAGGACTCACTGAGGAGTCTCCTTGATCTATTGGGGTTTATATACATCTACAGACTATTTGTACATGTGTACTATACTGAGCAACAATGGTAAGTCAGTTCTTGTACATGATTTTAGTGACTACATTACCTTGGCAATTGCGGTACTTCCAAAGACATTTTTCATGTCCATTACACCGTCAGGAAACAGAACAGGTGGGAACATATCATACTTTATTTGCTCTCCGACCAGTTTGGCTCCTTGTAATATTTTCAGCTCCAGAACTGAGGTCCTGTCAAACAGGACTTCAAAATAATGCTGTGGGAGACCAAATATTTTGCTGGCTTTGCCACGAATTTTGAAAATGACATCTGAACAGCCACTGCATAGCCTTTTTTGAAACTTAGATTATAAAAAAACAATTTATTACTTTTACATATGAAATGAATGGTGTAAAACAGACATACCAGGTTGCCGAGATGCTGGCTATCCTTTGTTAAACAATGGAAGTGGATGGGAATGAATTCATGCAGTTCTCTAATTTGCGTCTGCTCTTCCGCAAGTGCTGATGCATAGCATTTTGGAGAGTCCACTATCGGCACATCGGATCCAGCTGGCCATTCTGCTCAAAACCACAGTAAATTTACCGACATATCAACCATAATCCCATATTTCTTTGCAAGCTTCCCAATCTCCTCATCGTGAGCAATGACCTCCTTTGGGATAGCTGATGCCCAAGCTTGTGTAGGCTGCTTTGCCTTAAGCAATGCATTGTCCCTTTTCAGCCGCCTGTTGTCATTGCGGATCTCATATAAGTGCAGTTGCGTAGCCTGAAGTGCCTGTAATGATGTTTGATTTTTATGATCCGCAGAAGGCAACACATTTACTTACTTTTCTGAGCTCTGCAATGGATGCACCATCTCCCGGCATTGCAAGTGCCACGAGATCCCCATGAGATCCTGTATATGGCTGTTATTAGATGACTGGCCCTCAGATGTGTGCTTCTTGTGGCCAGGTTCGTCACAGCTCTCCTCCAAATCATTGCAGTCATCAGTTGTTTCTGAAAAAAAGACACAATTAAAGTTCTCTTGTTTTTCTGAGTCTGAATTGCCGTCATGTCATCTTGCACCATGTTGAGGCATCTGGCTGAGGAATGTTGGGTCATATCAATGCTGGGAGGGCAAACATAAATAGCAAGATTTTAAAGCAGTTGCAGCCGACTTACATAAAATGAAACACGAGGATGCTGCATTTCTATTATGTATACGTTGTAACATGAGGATGCAGCAAGCCTTTGGTGTGTTGGCTGTATGACATTCATATTACATCAAACACCTTTTTTCCTGTTGTTTCCACTACCGATGATGTTACCATTACAGATAATCTTTTTCAATTTTGCGGTAGGAATGATGATACTCTCGGCGTAGGACGAGTAATGAGCAAAATTCGGAGTCTAATATAGATTTAATAATCAAACAAATGCGGATAATCATCCTGTCAGTCTACTCACCTACTTATCCTGACCCAAAATCAGCCTGGCAGGCCAAATAGCAGCAGCAGCTATCAATGATGGAGGTGCAGCCAACAATCTCCACTCTAGGCATTGAATCTCAAGGAAGTACTTGGCAATTGTGCAAGCCTTCACGTCATATTTGTGTGCCTTGCTAATCCGCCTCAAGAAGTGCATTGGGCTGGGATAACTCAAATTCTAGTTGATCGTCTTCAAGACATAGCGCTCTGCTTGGAGGATCTCAGTTTTGAGTGAGATAGGTCCAAGAGTATTCACTTCCCTGAGAGATATAAGATAATCCCAGAAAGCAAGCAGAGCTGGGTGTGTCCAAGTGATCTGAGAATTGTTCGCTACCCCTGATACTGGGCCACTGGGAAGCAGAATGTCCTCTCCCGGTAGTGGATCCCAATATGACTGCAACGGTCGCGTCATCCCAGGGTGGTATTCCACGTACAGGAATAAGAAAAGCTCCCCTAGCATAAGGAGTATCCAGATATTCCAGGACTGATTTGGAATCATATGGTGAAAATGGTACTTTGTCTGTTGTGGCATAGGGCTTAATGTTCAACGCAGTTTTAGGCAGGCAATCTGTAAAACGGGCAGAGTAAAAGTGGGGCTATTGTGTGATCCATTTGGGACAATTAATGTTGAAAGTTGCTCTAAGCCAAAAGACCACAAACCTGAGGTATCACTGTGAAAAGTGGAGAGATGTCATAACGGGTCCTTTTAGATGGCCTTACCAAATCATTTGGAGACGGTTCTTGTGAGAGAGATCGAGCTCTACGTTGAGAAGTCCTAGCCTTGTCTGTGAGCGGTTCAGGATCTTGTATTCCGGACTTGTGTCTGTTTATTTTCCCCTGGCGTTTTTGGTCATAACTATGAAAATAAACAGACAAATATTCAAAGTCTGTGCTTTCAAAGCTAGATAAATCATCTAGCGTGAAGTAGTCCCAGTCTGTAACGCCCGGGCTTGCCCCTAGTCCTTGAGATCCTGGGCCCACGAGCCAAGCCTTCCTTGTTCCTCTGACGCTAAAGTAGGAGGATCTAAAGCAAACTTGAATAGTTTCCTATCAGAAAGGTCTAAGAATGAATTCGGTTTATTGACAATACCCAAACAAGGACAGATAGTGCGCACCAAAGTCGTATTCGCCAAAACTCGCACTGGTGTTCATCCAACTATTTGAATAACATGCAGCATTTACGAGAGCCCTCCTGTGTTCAACAAGAGACGTTGGCAAAGATAAGTGTACAATGAATTGGCACAGTACAAGAAGTGCACAACAGATAGAGCCACAATTTCTTCAACCTTTTCCGCGACAAAAAGGCAAGTGATACCGACTAGTTGCAACTTTGCAAGGGAGACAACATGTGCAGAAAGGAATTGATTGATAAGGCTAACGCACAAGAACAGTGTTTCTGGCAAAAGACGAAAACGGATGTGGACTTGGACCAGCCAGTCAGTGAAGATTCCACACATCTTCCACGCGAGCTCTTTCTGGCTTTCCATGTAGTTCGGGTTGGGCATAGTGGTAAGCTGCACATTATGAATCATCAGTGATATAGTTGATGAGTATGTCAAAACAATACGCACCTCAATCTCTTTTATGTAGTTAAAGATCTCGATCACATACTCGCTAACCATCAAAGGGTTGTGTATCCTCGGTGTCGAGGTTATCCCATTGGTCACCGTATAGATCTGCCTCTGGTTCACTATCTGCATAAGCTTCAAGAGCAGCAGCAACTTCTTTGGCTTCCTGTTGTAACTGTTCTTGTTCGAAGAATTTCCCTTTGTCAGGGATGTCTGAGGACGTGCGCCGCCTCTTGAAGACACAATTGTCCTCAACATCATCCTCGTGCTTTGCGGGGGGCCGAGTTGGCAGGCGAGTTGGAACCTCTGATGGACAAGTCCCATCTACAATGGTTTGCAAAGCTAAACCCAAATATCTCGTCGAGACCCGGTGTGGCTGAGGTTCTGCTGAGGGAGCTGCATTGGTAGCTGGATGGTCATTGATTGCCATGGCATCTTCATCTGCAACCTTTCTGGACTCCTCCTTCACCTTGTCCAGATTCTGCCCTTGAGGTGCCACAACTGTACTTCTTGTGGCACAATGTGTTGTAGAACCTGAGACAGTGTGCAACGGTTGCCTTGTTGCAGCAACCAGGGATGGTTTTGACTTAATCACAATGCCATCAAATTTCTCCTTAACCTCCTTGACGGGAGCAGCTTCTTTCCCCTTCCCTTTGACTTCCTTAGCTGGAACGTTAGTGGTTTTGTTCTTGTTCATGAATTTTGTGACTTCTCCCAGAGCCTCACGCTTTCCCTTCCCTTGAGCGGCAAGATCAACCTTGTTCTCATCATTACCGTTCACTTTTGCTCGAGATGCAGCGGTTGCAGCAGTAGCTCAGGTCAGACCACCAGTTGTAGCAGTGCCAGAGCCATTCAATAATGGGGGTTTCACTCGAGCAGTAAGAGGTGATGGACGAGCATCGGCATTCTTGTTATCTTTCAGAGTTGTTGTACAAGTCGTCTGCATTACACACCGTGTCTATTAAATGAGCATGCAATGAGCAATGAAGTCACAGCAATGAGGGAGTAAAAGATAGAGAAAGCTCACAGGAATATTTGAAACCATGAACAAGAAATGTCCGTTGAACAATAACTAGGATATGATAGACATCAGAAATGAAAAATGAAAGGTAAGCACGTTGCAGACTGAAGCTGAAGGTGGAGAACGACGGAATATCCATACTAGGGACTGTTTGTCTGTTCCCAGTTGTCCTTAGGTATGCTTCGCTGGCAATTTGGACCACATCTTCTTTGTGCGCAAGAACCAATCAGAATCAACCGTGTCAATGAGAAAGAAGTTGCCAGAAACTTTGTAGTCTGGGGCCATAGCTGCACCACAAACTATTGAACGAAGAGGGACAAACTCAGCATCTGAGCATGACTTTGCCCAAATTCGCCAGAGACCAAGGTCCTTGTCTTTGTGTTGCCGCCGACCTACTGGAGCATCATATGGTTGAACCAGCGCAAACAGATAATCAACCTGATCAATGGTACAAATAAATAGCATGATAAGGCGAGCAAAAATCCTGGAGTCCACTGTTTGCAGTAGGACACAATCATATCATGGATGATTGTGAAACCGAGGGTTAGATTGAAGGTAATTGGTATATTGTCACCAACCGACTATAGATTCATAGTCAACTTTCATGAAACAACATTCTGTAATCTTGTCTTCAGCCCCCAATTTGATGTGTTTCCCACCAGGGAATGCTATATTTATTTGCACTGAAAAATATGTTAAGGTAATTTGAGAGCCTTATACGAAAGCTTGTGAATGCTGCATTATCCTTGCGTGATTCTTCCAGGCCTTGAAATGATGTTGCAGGACACTTTAAGCCTAGCAACACATGACTCATTTTGGTGATCTTCAAGTCAACTTCATCCCCTTTGAGATCACCCATTAACTGGCTATCAAAAGCTGCTATATCCTGGCGGATAAAGCATGACACCAGACACCAATGGTCAGCCTGAAGGATCTAAATGATAATATCAGATACAGGTTGTCCTTATAAATTAGACAGACAAACCTGTTCAGCAACGTGTTTGAAGTTTGTCCGGAATCGATAAGAATCCTTGAGTGGGCCATGTAACTGCTCGTTTGGTTTTGTTGTAGTTCCAGGTTATGCCTTTTGCTTTGATGTCTTCAAATGCATCTTTATTCATGTGTATCTCCGGAAAGTTCCAACTTTTGTCTCTAAGTACATCTGCCGCCTTTAAATATTCATGCACAAGTCTTTAATAATTAATAAAAAATAATGATGGCGACCTACATCCATATCTTGTGAAAATAGCTTCAAAGCTTGTCTACCAGCTGCAATAGTCTCTGTCGTGTGAACTGTTAGTCCTGTATACATATCAACATCAAGGAAGAGGTGAATGCTCTTCAAAAGAAGATGTGCTGGCTTGTGTAATTGAACATCAAATACATTGTGCAAAGCAAAGATAACCATCTAAAATAAATATCTAAAAAACAACAAAGGACGAACCATACTGATTATACCTTGGATATACCTTCATGCTTTGTTGCATCCAAAATTTCTATGCTAGCCACTCTGCCAAAATGGTTCAGATTGTACTGATCATCAAGCTGATGGGATGCTGCTTGGCCCTCTGCTTCTATCCAGAATAGAAACTCCTTCCAGAGATGATGGCCTCATAGGCCACTATTATGTGCATGTAGCCAGTCCCAAGATAATGCTTGATGCACATCAGAGTAATGGAACCTCCAAAAGACATTCTTATCCCATATGAGCATAATATAGCAGTATTAAAGATATTTCACCTTAACAGGACAAAGTCCACAGTTTTTGAGGACAATTTCCTTGTTTGCTGCTGTTTGCTGCTGCTTTGCTTCTAGTAATATAGATTCTGAATGAGCACTGGTCCGACGAGTAAATGTCTGTGTTGTATCTGAAAGTTTGTCCCTCGGTACAAGGCATATTGGGCATGGAAAATTACAATTTGTCCCATGTGATGAAGGCATTGCACATCTATGAAGGATAAATAACTAGTTGATGGATACAAGGAATTTACTTACTGTTCCTCGTAGTCAGCAGAAAGTATCAAAATAATAGGGAAAAGATAAAGAACATCACCCTCAGTGCGCTGATAATAATAGCCAGTCTTGGCGTGAAGTTCTAAAGATTCAACAACTTTTAAAAATAATTCATGCCATACAACATTCTTGAAGTTAGCAAAACTCTTTTTACCCTTATGTTCCTCATCTTCCGGCACCTGTAATGAATAACCATTATGCTCTGTATAATAGTGTGGATTGAATAATATATACCACCGGAAGCCACCCTACAACTCTTCCACCTCCAATACCTGTACCATTTTGGATATCAGTGGGCAACTTTGCACATCGTGTAATTATGGGATAGCCCTTTACAGTCCCAAAAGAAGACAATTGTTTTATCAGCATATAAAATAAAATATAGAGGCTTTCCGCCATCTGGAAGCCTTGACTGCAACATGTACATTCATTGTATACAATAGCAAATAAGTTCAATATCACGTACTTGAATATCCCAGAAATCCCCAGCTGTCCATGGTTTATCAATGAATTGTACAAAATTGTCACCATTACATTTGAAAAGCCGTTTGGCATCAAATACAAAGTGCTCTGAGAGGTGCGGGTCCGTAATAAGTCCAATGCCCAATCCCACAGCGAACAAAAATGAACATCAAAAGAATGGTCTTTGCCTTGATATGGTACATTGATTATAGTCTTTTCAAACTGGACTTATTTGGTGTCAGTTCTCATACACAATAAATGTGTACAATATCACAAACCGGAGTTAGGGCATGAGAAGCAATCTTCCATATCTTGTAAAGGTCAGATTGATCTTTCAGAGTGAATGAGCCAGGTTCTCGTATACTCTGGTGAATGACCTTGACTAATCTATTTATCTGGTCTTTATTTGATGCTGCTTCAAGAGCGACCTCCGCAAATTCAAAGTCAACCCGGGATTTGAATAGCTGCCACAGACATGAGTTTTTGATGCGTGCTTTGCCAGAAAATCCACATTTGAAATCAGAGAAATGGTCCACTTTTGCAGTGCGGCCACGTGTAGGGTGGTACTCAGTTTTGATATCATCTATTTGAAGACTTTCCCCCATGAAGTTCAGCCCGACAGAGGGTGCGTCATGAAAACAAGATGATCCTGTAAAGATAAAATAGTAACAACCGACAAGCACCAGACTGATATATACCTACCATAGTTATCTTCTACATCAACATTGGTGTTGGTGTTTTCCCATACATGTTTTGACAAAGATCCCACTGCAAATTGCTTCTCTAGTTTTTTCGCTAAGCAGAAATGTTAATGAGTGCTCAGTTTCCATGTCAGACTGATTTGCCTACCTTCTTTTTTTTCTTTCCAAAGCTGCTTGTCTAATTGAAGGTCTTGCGCCAAATCTGCCATCCGCTTTATACATGTTGCTTTGTGTCTGGGGAGGCCCATAGGCTTGAAATGTCCCCCGCAGGAAGGGCAAGCTTTGAGGCCATCATCTTGATTGTCGAGAGCAATAGATTCTGTGTGGAGATACACATTGGGAACCTTTTGCTTGTCCTTTGGCATTTTTATCAAGGAGTTGTTGATACAGAGTTGTTGAGGATAGAGCTTGAAGCCAGTACAGATATACAGTTATGGGCAAAGCTGACTATGTACAGACAGATTGAAGGACATCATCATTGGTGAGAGCAAATTGATGCGGACACAATGCGGTTGCCATCTGGTTGCAACCAAACCGGCTGACTGTTAGTAAGCTACACTGCTTGCACGCTGCTCATCACACCAACCCAATCACGTGCTCTTGCAACCAGTATAGGAAATCTCCGGCAGCTATAGCTGTCATAGAAGACATAGAAATGTGCTTGGCTATATAGCAAATGGGTTTTCCTTGATTCTAATCCATCAACATTCAGAAAACCACCTATTTAAAGAAGCATAATCTTTTCATGAACTAGTGCTACATTACAAGCCCATACTTTCATGAAATTCCTGATGTGAGGTAGCATGCTCACATGTCAACAAATTATGCATTACAAATATCTCTGTAGACCTCTGATAGAGGTGGCGCATTTTCTCCCTTCCGCAGAGGTTGAGCCAGTTTAGCTGTGTAGACTACTAAACTACTAATTAGACGCGTTGCGCGGGAGCCACAGGTGTGCGAAACGAACTACGCGACGCGTCTGATCACGTGTGTAGGCTTTAAGAGTTTTCCGGCCGAAAAGCCTGAGCAACGGTTGACAGGATGTAGCCTATGATATGACCGATACGAGCCATAATTCCATATGTGACCCTATACCGCTCATATCTCACATCGTCCTTGAGGATCATCGTATGCGGTTGGCAGATTTTTCATCTTAATGATCTACCTTTTGATTGACACGTCTTTTAGCATATATTTCTATAGATCACATTTCCTTGAGACCGTCCACACTCTTCCACAGCATCTCAAAATTAATTTTTTCCTCGTCAGCACAGTTCAAGGCCATGACCTTTTCGAAATTTGGTCGACGGTAATGCGTTGTTATTGTTCCGATCAAGGTTTCACTCACATTGCCGCCTTTACGCTCTTTATCGTGCTGCCGAAGTACTAGCCTTGATGGATGTCAACCGTTCCCAAATTGACCTTCTTACGTGGGCAGTTTCTCTGCAAGCTTTACGTTGACATGTCCAGACCAGCATATCAGTTCCTTTCCGTCCATCCCCCATGAGCATTCGAGACTTATGCATTAACTGCTAGGTTTCCGCCATGCACACTTGGGCTAGAGCTTTTTTACTCATCTTCCTGTCAAGCCGCTCACCACATTTCCACTATTTAATCCGCAATCCTTTTAAGCTACTCTCTCATTAGATCACGCCTTAATCAGTATCTCAGTTTTGTAAATGACTGCGAAGTATCCCATCCCTCATAGTGACCAGTTCCTTGCCCTCTCCTGCACAAATGTTGGAGTTGGTCCCGGTGGCACCACTGCAATGTTAGCGTCAGTAACATCAATCCACTCTCCTTTTGTGCCCTCTCATTTTAAGCCAAGCCGGCTCATGTACTCTTTTTTCAGGCGCGTGTCTATAGTCAACTACAAAGGTGATGTTGAACTCGACGTATATGTTATCCCGACGATGCCAGTCAGCGATTATCGTACCTCGACGACTGGTATTGAATCTGTACATCTTCTTCCTCGTATGTCATAAAGCTATATATATTCTTTGCCAACGACACTCAACATGGATCAAATTGCTGTATCTTGGGTCTACCAGCATGTGCGAGTAGATTTGATATTGTTCAGCAGCATGTTGCGAACCTCATCAAAGGCAAAGTGCTGGTTGGTCATAGCCTTTGGAACGACCTTGCTGGTACAGGACTATTGTTCCTAAGAGTACCACGATCTAATTTTTTTTGCCGTAGTTCTCGGTATTCCTCACCCTGCTGTAACAACACGTGATGTTGCTCTTTATCAGCCTTTTCGCAGCGCTCTTCGTTCTCCCAACCAGATAATAGGCCTGCAAACTCTTATGTGGCACCTCATGTGCCGTCGTTGCCAGGATGGGCAACTACATCCTGTGAGTAATCTTGACCATTCTGTCTTCTTCATTGCTTCAGAGAATGGCTAATCAACGTATCGCGCGGATGCCTTTGCGCCATGGGTTCGTCTTGCTAAATAATCAAAACTTATCACCTATTTCGCTTTAAGGTGGAGAATGCACGTGCTTCACTCGACTTGTACCGTTCTGTCGCAACGGATTGGGAAGGTGCGATTTCCAAAGGGAACTGGCCTTCTATGCTTCCTCCTAGCACATTTTCGAGGTGCTATCTATAGCCTGAACATAGTTATGTCACTGTCGCTGCACTTGAAAGCGTGACGATCTTTCACTTATTATGTGTATATCACTTCGGTTTGTTTTTAATTTACATATCCTTTACTTCGAAGCTTCCCGGTCTATCTTTGCTCTCCAACCCCAACATTCTAGTACCTACATCATTGGTGGACTCCAGCTCTATCCACCACCATGATGACTGTGTTTCCTTCATGGTCAGATAATTTTATGTCATATAATATATCCCTGGAAAGTCCAATTTCTTCACATTCTGTACGAACTAGGAATAATCAGGCCTACATTATGAAAATTTTAGTTTAAACAATAACAGGAGGAAAGAATAAGTAAAATGTACCCTCAGTCATATACACCAACTGAGGGAATTGAATGAACAAGAATAGAAGCTATATATGAGAAGGAATAAATCATGTGTGGTTGGAATGTCTTCTGTATCGCAAACCTAAAATGTACACTCCAACAAACTCCTCCTGGACACAGAGATCATTTCAGTCCCATGTGATTTTATAAGGATGCAAAGGTTTTTGCTGGTAAGGCTTTTGTGAAAGCATCTGTTAAACTATGCTTTGTATTTATATACTGGATGGTGACTTGTTTTGAATGCTGTTTGTGGATATAATGGAAATAAATATCTATTTGTTTGGTTTGTGTGTGGAATGAGGGTCATTGCTAAGAACACATCAGGAAAAAAATGACATCACTATGTACCACTCTGTAGTCCATGTAGCCAAGGTAACACAGTTCTCTTTGTAATAATCCACAGTGGACTCAGAGAGTACAGAAAAGCAAATTGGACCAGCCAGGGATTGAACCCAGGACCTCCTGCCTATGTATGGCGGTGCTCTAACCAACTGAGCTACCAGCCCTTGGATATCACCACTCAGTTGCACAATGTTGTCTAACAAGGCCCAGGCTTTGACATTGACAATTCCAACACTTCCCCCCCCCCTTTTGTAGCACAATGTAATACCTACCCAAAAGAGTACCACTACAAATCACTACAGTGCTCAATGTAATCCCACTGAAATACATAGAGCTACCAGTCTGTAGCGCAGTAGCATTACATGTTTCTATATATTGGTTGTACCACCAGCCCTCAGAGCCAACCTAATACACAGTAACCGGGTATTTGGAATTGTACAAATGCGGGGTCATAAATATATTCAAGCAACCACAAAAGAACACAGCATGTTATCTACTCCAGAACCTGATCATCCTCCCTGCTGACAGTGAAGCCCTCTTCATCATCCACATCACCCTCTTCCCCCTCCTCCTCTATAGCACTATTGGCCAGATACTCTTGTAATGCCGCTTTGAAATGACATGCCTGCAAGGCCAGGCCCTTGTGATGTCCAATGGATTTGGCACCTGCATGAAAGCTGAAGTGAACAAAGTTAGTGCAACCAATGACTGTCGCAAAAAGAAGGAAGTGTTACTGTGCGGCATCATGCCAGCTTTGGTGCATCCTCCCAAGCATATTATACTCAGCTGTTTGTTTACTGAACTCTTTCAAACAGACCAAATGACTATAATAAAATTTGCCATAAGCAGCGGCAGTGAAAGTAACTTCTTCCCAAATTCCTGTTGCCCACTCATCTATAGCACATTCAAATCTGTAAGGTCATGAAGAAAACAGTAGTTATACATTAGGATATACTGCAACATTATGATAAGCACTCACCGTGGTAAGAATCAAAGCCACTATCTCCAATGAGACAGGGTTGGAATACTTGTGGTAGGCCACACCCTTGTCATTGCAGTTGGCGAACCACATGTCATCTAATATAATTTGAATTATTCCAGCCTTATACAGGCCCTTTTGGGCCTTCAGATCCTGCTCAATAGTCAGTAAAATGTTGAACCATAGGTAGATAAACTCACTTTGTAAACAAACAATACATTTTCCTTCATGTCCATCGCCAGTTGGCAATTCTGTGCGATAACCTTTGGAGATGAGCTTGCACGGAATCCATAATAAGTGCCAGCTCGACCATGGACTTTTGTCTTGAGTTCCATCTGGACATGTGATGTCCTCTTTATGATCTGAGTATTGATGGAGCAATGTCAGCAATCCAACAACACATGAATAATTCACATACCAATTTTAAGATGTCCGGGGTTAGAGCCAGGTTTAAGCTGGCTCTAACCAGGCACCTGAAAACTGCAATGGTAAATTGTAGGACTTCTTTTGGTGTCTGGTGCATAATTGCAAACCTGACTACAGCTGGGCTGTGAAGGAGTCTCTATGCTGGGGGCCTTGGTGGCCTGGGTATCTGCTTCATTGTCAGTGTTGTTGTCTGACGGACTCACAAACAGTTGGCACTTGTGGCCAATGCTGACGGATGCAGTTTCTTCTTGGTCTGAAGCCCTGTGAAAATCTTCAGACAGGGCCTGACAAAGTTTGGGGAGGGGGAAAAAGCTGAGAGAGTGCAGGCAAAGAACCATGGGAGCCATTTGCTGATCAAGAAAAGTGGGAATTAGCAGAATGGTTAATGAAAAATCTGGGACAAGGACATACCAACACATTTTTGAACCTGCCAATTGTATGTTTTCACTGTCTCTTCAATCGGATTTGGATAACCAACAGTGATTTACTGCTAGACAAAAAATAGATCATGCTTATTGTTTCATAATACTTGGTCTTTCTTGCAGCGAGTAGATAGTCTACCAAGTGGTCCTGGATGGACCTGCAAAAATGTGTTAGTGATGGGTGATCTACAGGACAATAATGGCCATATCAGGTCAGAAGAGTATGAATTGTGGATGAGAGACCCTGTGGAGATCATCAAAGACTTGATAGGAATCGTCTCTTCAAGGACTCAATGATGTATGCTCCAAAGTGTGCATATACAGATGAGAGTGCTCAGGGGCATATATTTGATGACATGTGGACAGCAGATTGGTGGCGGGAGAAACAAGTAAGTTGTCATATGGTACAATGTCTAGAGAACAATACTTAGCAGGTAATAGAGCATCATTGTAACAACCAAAGTTTGTATACTCTGGTGCACAGTGAAGACAAGAAAAGAGGGGTGAGTGAAGGAGAGGGTAATCTCCCTTAGGGTAGGACCAAGTTTGTTATGGGTAAATAACAGGAGGACTTGCTGAGGAGTCTCCTTGATCTATTGGGGTATTTATACTACTACAGACTATTTGTACATGTGTGCTATACAGTTGATAAAGGCAGTGGCTGATGATGTCATAGGGTGCAGCCTGTGTGACCAGCTCCACTGCGTGAGAGACTTGTAGCTAAGAATAAAAAATACAGTGCAGCGTGAGAAAGTGGAGTTTGAACAAAATTGAAAGTGCCACATGGCACAGTGTGTGAAAACTACAAAATAAAGTTAAAGTGGAGAATGAAATTCAAAGGTCCAAAAATTGTGTATCGTAACAATCATACCCAACAGAGGAGTTGTGTCTCCAGTAATCTTGGCGTCGGATAAGACAATGTTGAAGGACTTTCAAGGGGACAAGTCTGCGTGGCCCGTCTACCTGGCAATTGGGGACATTGCTAAAGATGTGAGACGTGAGCCATTAAAATAGGCTATGGTCCTGCTGGGTTACTTACCTGTGGCCAAGCTGGATTATTTCAAAGAGAACACACGGTCACTTGCTGCTGGCTATCAGATGTTCCACCACTGCATGTCAATAATGTTGAGGCCACTTGTGGCTGCTTGCAAGGACAGATTGAACATGATCTGTGCAGATGGATTGATACATCGCATCCATCCTATTCTGGCAGCATATGTGGGCAATTTTCCTGAGCAGTGTTTGATCGCTTGTTGCAAGGAAAGTTGGTGCCCTGAATGTGTTGTTTCATATGACAAACAAGGAGATATGGTTAGCTCATTATTGCGGGACCCAGTGAGAAGTTACCAGACTCTCCAACTACAAAAGCAAGGATGCAGACCTGGAGCAAACTTCCCTATACCAATATATTCAAGGGATTCACCCCTGATATTCTTCATCAGTTACACAAGGGGGCGTTCCAATATCACCTAGTCTGATGATGTTCAAGCATGATGGGTGAGGAAGAGATGGATTTGCAATTGAAAGCAATGGCCAGCTATCCAAGATTACAACATTTCAAGAAAGGCATCTCGCGGATCAGTCAATGGACAGGAAGTGAACACAAAGAGACAGAGAGGGTTTTTGTGGGCTTACTGGCAGGTGGCTTTGATGCTCAAGTGTGTTACGCTTAGAATGTGCAAGCCTGGTAACATTGAGTTTCTGGATGTACAAGTGGTTTCTGATAAGCCTGTTTGTGAACGGGTTTGAGACATATTTTGATGATGAAGTTTTAACTGATGAATACCAAGTTACACTGTTGAAGCGTACAATTGTATTGGAGATGGTAACTACAATACAGACATATATATGTAGTCCCTACTTGAGGGTAGGCATTTGTGTTCAACAAACAGAGATGGGTGGTACCATAATAAGTAATTGTATGTGGGAATAGTTTGGTAAATAGCGGTATGTAGCTACTCAAGAAAAGAAATAAAGTCCATAGAGAATACAGTTCATAACATGAGTGCTGGCTGTGGCTGCCTCATTATTGGACTTTATTTACTATGCTCAGTTCCAAATTCACATGACAAAGACACTTACCAAATTGAATGAATGCCTCGAGGTCTTCTATGCAAGCAAGGACGTGTTCAAGGACCTTGATATAAGGTCTGACTTCAACATACCCAAGTTACACACATTGCTCCACTATGTCAAGTTGATCAAACTGTTTGGTGCAGCCAATGGGTTCAATGCAGAGCTACCCAAGTGCCCGTATATTGACTATGCCAAGGAGGCCTATCAATCAAGGGCCATCTGGTTGCAACATCAAGATGCAATCAACTTGCAAGGCTTTTTTCTCCTGTGGCAAATTGCAAATTCTGCACTCCTTGGCTCTGAAGGTCTCAAGACAGTGGGGGTAGAGTCTGATATGACAGATTCAGAAGTAGAGGAATTGGGTTTGAACTGCACACCTGTGGGACGGGTGAGTGATGAGGCCTACAAATCTCTAAACCGTACCAGTAGAGTAATAGCTAAGCGTTGCCTGTTGCCTGGAATAAGCGTGAACAATCTGGAGGCCCTACATGGGGCCAAGAAATTCCTCCCAAATCTCACAAGCTATCTATGGATGACCTTCCCCACTTGTCAGCTCACACCCTCTGCCATAGACCACTTTGATGTCTACAAACAAGTAGCATTTGTGGTGCCGCCAAACTTGCAAACTTCCAAAATGGGCCAATGTTTACAATTGCATTGCAGCCCCGGGTCAATAGTTTCACAAACAAGCAGGAAGGGGGCCTCACCCACCTATTTCAACATGGCTTTGGTGATCAAGAATCGCGAGGAATTTGAAGGTGGATTGAGTCTTGCTCTAGGTGGGTGCTACCGCGTGAGTTATTTTTCCTGATGCAATAGTGCCATCATTATCACATGGTCAAGGAGTGGGCACTTTTCTTTTTGTGTTCTTGGTATTGTGTTAAGTAGCAATTGTGGCCATACTACCTCTTTCACATGAGTAATTTCATGAAGGTATGGTCAGACCTTATAATACATTAAACATATGTAGTATATATAATGGGAGTCAGCCTGATGAGCAACTTTATATGGTATTATATGGCTAGATTAACCTGGCACATTTCAGCAACACTGTAAGACTGATATTTGCTTATTGCCATTATAAGTCTGTTTGCGGCTTGTAGTGCATATATGGCTAGTTAGTGTTGATACTTATGGGCATGGACATAGGAGTTACATCAGGTTACAATATGAACAACGCTTGGAAATGCTTATATGTCCAGGTAAGCTGGTAATGTAATGCTGCTTCGTGAAAAGACTATAATTCTGTTAAGAAGTGGTAATTTTACCAAAGGCTGGTGGGCTGCAATCAATAAATATTGCCATCCCAAGTCTTCATTTTGTTAAAGTAACTATCATGATGTGAGACAAAGTTGCTTTCTATAAGTGTTATGTGAAGTTATAATGTCTTATCTGGCTAGAGTCTCATAGATGTGCTGTTATACATACAATATCATTTTGACAAACATCATGTTTTCCATTGACAGATATTATAGCATCAGGATAGTACTTGATGGTTTCCAATTAACCAATAGTGAATATACCTAGTACAAAATGGAACCTTCACTTGCAGCAAACTATGTATTTAATTAAGCCTCAGGCCTCAGGGGTTGAATCACTGGCATTGGCTTAGCATTTGAGAGCGGCACATTTTTTCCCAGATTTTAGCAAGCGCACTACCTCTTGCTGACATTTTTTGTGAATACAAAGATGAAGGAACAATTATTCTATTCTTTGGTGTGCGTCAGCACAAAATCAGCCTTAGCATGGGTACAGCAACTTCTGTTACAATATACAGTTTTCGGACCTTTAAAATTCATTCTCCTCTTTAACTTTCTTCTGTAGTTTTTACACACTGTGCCATGCGGCACTTTCCATTTTGTTCAAACTCCACCTTCTTGTGCTGTGCTGCCTTGCTTTATTTTGAGCTACAAAGTATCTCACACAGTGGAACTGGTCACATGGGCTGCGCCCTACGAGATCATCAGCCACTGCCCCCATCAACTGTATAGTACACATGTACAAAAAACCTGTAGTAGTATAAATACCCAATAGATTCAGGAGACTCCTCAGCGAGTCCTCCTGTTGTTTACCCACAACAAACTTGGTCCTATCTACAGGGTAACCACTCCCCTCACTTCCTTATAGCTTTGTCTGAGTTGTGTGCCAGAGTATACAAACTTTTGGTTGTAACAACTTCTTACTTGTTCCACCAAGACAACAGCTTGTTTACCTCCTCAATTTTGTTGGCATCTTCAAGTAAATCCATCACACTATTGAAAAAGCCCCCAGAGTCTGTAGTGGTGTCAGTGCAGCTCATACAAAGGGCAACTTTGATCTAGTAATACATTAACAAGCAAGAAACACAATTTTATAACACATATTTGGCATACAACAATGTAGGCATAAATATCTAAGTAGGATCTAAAACTACAACAAGACAACTCTGCGGGCAATTTTGTCACTGCACTCAAAGAATTTAGTGGATCTCCTGTTCATAACTATACTGTTTGTCCATGTCTTTGCAGCACGCAAATCAGCAGTATTGTTGGTGATGTGATCTAAGTGTACACAAAACCATTTCTCGGCAGAGGACAACCAAAAGCCATGATTGAGACCTCCACCCATAAAAGTTAAATTCTTCAGCCACCATGAAGATTGCGATGTCTGGGGGCCATTTCCTGTGTATACATTATATATCCCTGAAATAAAATCCAGCTCATCCTGGGATAGACAATCATTGATGAAAAAGCGGCTGTCTGAAGTCTGAAAAACTTGCTTTGGTTCCCTGGGATCGCTTGAGGGTCCTGATAGGACTGCTTCCGGGGCTAAGACATCAATTGTGAAATGCCATGCAAGTCCACTTTGTAGCAAAGCAACACATCCACAACTACCAAGCAGAAGCTTGTTGTGGACATTCTCATAGCAGGTGTAATCAATGATATCTGGTCTATAACCTCCCTTACAATATCCTAGAGTGACACAACCAGGCGGTACGGCAGCGGGAGGTGTTTTGACTTGTAAAAAAGTGTTGAATAGTATCCCTCTTGCTACGAGCTGTAATGCAATATCTTCCAAACTGGGCCCAAAGCTGCGCCTTACACACTCCATGACAGCTGTAGAGTTACTTACACAAATCTTCCATCCTGGAGATGTTTTTGTGTTGTGAGGACCAAGTAAGTCACTATCTTTGAAATTGCCTTTGAAACAAATGGGAGTGATTGTGAAAGGGAATTCATGGTCTCGGATGTGGTCAGGGGAACAAGTATCCATGTTCCAGATAGGTGGCAAGATATCCTTATGTTCAATTGAGAACTTTTGGGAAGTGTCTAGCCACTTGCTGAGAGCTAACAGGGACAGAACTAGAGTCCAATATGAGTAACTAAAGAATAGGAATATTGGACTCTGCAATACTAGTCCGACATTTTGTAAACAAAGGTAAACAAATCAGCCACAAAGGCAAAATTATAGAATGCTCAGTGAATACTGAACAATAGAGAAAAAAGAATAAAGAGGAAAGTGATTTAGAAAGAAGGGAAAATAGATAGCACAACTAGGTGCATAATCACTAAAACTACACTCTCCCCTGATGCTGCTGACAAAACCAGATAAACCCGGTCTCTGCCAAAGCAGCCATTGTTCTCCATGGAGCATAGCCACCACTCCATGGAGTCACCATTGTTCTCCTAGGAGTCATTATACTGTAGCAAGTAGCACCTCCGACTATAAGTAGTAGGGGGTTTAGTATAGGAATACCTCAGTCGTTTCTATAGCCTCTTGGGCAGCGGCTGAGGTATGTTACATTACATTTATTAGAGATCACCTTAAACTAACATCTATTGTAGTTTCACTTAGTTTTATTAAGTTATGAGCCCTGGTGCGCAAAAGCTACACAGGAAATAATTCTTATTTGAAACAGCAACCTCGGAACCATGACCACAGCACACAATACATCCGCATGTCCAGTTCTCACTGGACCCAACAATTTTCAGATATGGAAACTCCGGATCATCTCAAAGCTACATCGGGAAAAGGTTCTCCAAGTTGTTACTGGAGAGGAGCTTAAGCCCTCACCAGGAAAGCCTACCTCCTTGGAGGATCCTGAAATCACCTGGATACTTAAGGATGAAAAGGCACATGGAATCATCCAGGATCATATCTCTGATGCCCTCCTCATGAGGACTGGAGACCTCACCAGCTCCAAGGAGTTATTTGATAAACTTGTCTCACTCCATCAAATGTCCAACATTGCCTCGGCCTTCTATTCATTCCAGCAACTCACCAAATTGTCCTGGGATGGGATATCACCTATCCAGGACCACATTGCAAAAATCCGGACAATTGATTCACACCTCTCCGGAATGAAACTAGGAGTTGATACCAAACTCATGGCTTTCGCTCTTCTCCAATCTCTCCCATGCACTCCTGAATGGCAAATATTTCAGTCATCAGTAATCAACACGATTGAAGAAAATAAACTTACCTTTGATGCAGTTGAGATCCGGATCACTGCAGAAGTTGCACGACAGTCAGGGAAGGCCCCTGGAGGTTCCGAATCAGCACTTAAATCCGAGGAGAAATGGTGTAACTTCCACAAAGCCAAATCACACAACACCTCGGAGTGTCAAATACTTCAGTCAGCTGAAAAAGGTCAAAGGAAGAAGAAAAAGGAAAGACACAAGGATAAAGGAAAAGAGAAGGAAAAGGTAAATACAGCAGAGCAATCATCTGGATCTGACTCCAAGGAGGAACAAAGTTATATTGCATTGGAACATGTACATATTTCCAAGCCCCTTGCTAAACATATTCAAGCTTACCTTGTGTCTGAACCCGATAAGACCAAAACAACAATCATCATTGACTCCGGAGCAACATCCCACATGGTCCCTCACCACTCCTGGTTTGAGCCAGGAACATACCATGTTCTGCATCCTCCAAGGACAATCAGTTTTGGGGATGAATCCTCTGTAAATGCTATTGGCATTGGAACAGTAATCCTACAAGCAACTGTTGGCAAAAAGGACTACAATATTGCACTGTCAAATGTCTTACTTGTGCCAAACTTCACTTTAGCACTCGTTTCTGCCCACAAATTGTCCAAAACGGGGTTAGCAACACTTTTTCCAGCAGGGTCAAACACTTGTGAAGTTCGGCAAAAGGAGGAACTTATCCTCACTGCCTTACACAAGTGAGGACTTTATCACATCCAAGCAAAACCCGAAATCAACCCGGAGTCAGCTTTTGCAGCAGTAGATGTAGTTTTATTGCACAGGAGAATGGGACACATTGGAATGGACTGCTTGCAACGAATGGTTACAAAAAGACAGCTCCAAGACATAGACACCCTTACCGGAACCCCGGAGTTTTGTGAACCTTGTGCTTTAGGAAAGATGAAGAAATTACTTTTCAAGTCCACTGGAGGAAACCGAGCCAAGCACCCCATACAAATTGCGCACACAGATGTTGGAGGACCAATCAAACCAACTTCCAGGGAGGGTTTTTGGTACTGCATTATCATTGTAGATGATTTCTCCAAATTTCCATGGATATATTTCCTAAAACATAAAAGTGAAGCACTGAAACGATACAAGTAATGGAAAGAAGATGTCCCAACATTCTTCCGGACTCATTTGGGAGAGGAAAACTTCACTCCACTATACACAGAATTCCTCCAGAGCGATGGGGGAGGAGAATATACTGGCAATGCATTCAAAAATCAACTCCGAGGAGATGGTGTCATCCAAGAAACTACAGCTGCAGATACTCCGGAACAAAATCGCATTGCAGAACGCATGAATCAGACATTGGCTACATTAGCAACCACTATGCTCCATGATTCCAAGCTCCCAAAGTCATTTTGGGTAGATGCCATGCAAACAGCTGCATATATCACAGCACGCAGCCCAGCATCAGGACTCCATGGAAAGACCCTATGTGAAATACTGTTTAAAAGAAGAGTTGATCCAACTTTCGCCCTTTCAGATGCCAAGCATATGCCTTGATTCTGAAAGACAAAAGGCAAGGGAAGTTTTACTCCAAGGGGCACAAAGCCATAATGATTGGCTACACACATGGAAAGCAAGCCTACAAACTCCTAGACACTGAAAAACGAACTGTGTTTTCCAGTCGGCATGTCATGTTCAATGAATCCGGAAAGGTACAAAAGGACGACACTGCTCCCTGGAACACAGACCCTAGCACATATCAGTGGGAGGGACTCATTCCAGAGAATGCTCACTATCCAGACCAAAATACATTGGAGGAGGATGATCCTAACCCTCGG